AGGCGGCCCTGGGAAGCAAAAACTGATTGTTAGCTTAACACAGCACCAAAACCAGTTTAGAACCCTGAAGAAGGTACAAGGACCACCAGAAAGCACCAAGGAACACCATTTGTCACATGCAGTTGAATTCCAAGACAGTGGTTGCCCTTAGAACTCAGTGAAACTATTTAGAAGTGAAAAACTGATCAAATACCCCATGGGAGATCATAGAATCACAGAATCGTTTGGGTTGGAAAAGCTCTTTAAGATCGCTGAGTCCAACCGTTCCCCTAATCCTGCCATCCCACCCCTAAACACCCTGGAGTGGGGTAAGGAAAAACACGGGAGCTTTTCTGCGCTCCAGTCACCCATGGGCCAAACACCAAGCCTTTCAACCAAAGGGACTACGGAGCTGCTGAGGCCCGAGGAGGTGATTTCTGGACGGACTTTGGCTCCACCACTCATCCAGCCCTTGCTTTCTTCCTCCGCAAGCAGAGAACAGGTTGCAATTCCTGCTCCTTTGCCAGCAACTCACCTCTGCCAGAAGGACTATCCTCTTCCCGTCCGGCCAGATGACGTGGTCCACCTGGGACCTCACCCTCTCCCAGGTCAGCTCAGGCGTACGCAGGCTTGCCTGAAACACGGTGTTAAAATGGTTAAAGTGCCAGCAGAAGACCAAACCCCAGAAGCTACATAACAGGAATGAAAAGAGGAAGCAACTCGCTGGCATTGTCCTAGGCTTATCGTGTCCTTTGGGTCCGGCTGCAGTCCCAGACCAATGAAACCTTTATGAATCATAACCGGGAACTATTTTTATGATTACAACACATCAAAGCTCCAGCAACAACTATTGTTTGAGCTCTTCTGGCTGAAGAGGATTCATGGTCACCGACTAAACTGTGCATGGCTGCGGCCACTTCTTTCCCGCACCAAAAATGGCTTTAAACCCATGGGTCTGGCCAAGCAATTCTCCACTGACCTCCGGACCAGACCCTCCTGTTTTTCTACTCATCCGTGGCACAGGTGAGCGGATTCCAGTGCCGTTCGGTGAAGCGCGGTGGGGTGGAGCGTGCCGTGTGGCACCAAGCTGCGCTCTCGGCTGGGGCTTAACGGTACAACAGCGCAAAAGCAGCGGGATGGGCTGGGGAGGGTGGTTCACCGACTCCCTAGGGGAAGGGATGGATACCAGACACGACGTTGGAAGCTGGAGCAATTTGTCTGGCTCGCTGGCATCCTTTGGGATCGCAGGAATGACGATGACATATCTGACGGCGTCTGCTGAGACGCGGGGAGCGATGGATTATTTCGTCTCCTCCCAGGGTCTTGCTAAAGCAGCACAGGTCAGAGGCGGGTCCCAAAAGCACCGTCACCCCACCCCGTGCCGTCCCTGCTCCCGACGCGCGTCCCTGCGCTCACCACGTCGATCTCGGTGTTGGAGTGGCCCATGTTGCAGACGATGCAGCTGTTCTTCATCCGATCCAGGTGTTCCCTGGTCACCACGTTCTTGTTGCCTGCCAGACAGCAAAACCCGTAAGAAAAATCCGTGTTGGCTTTCCCCGACTTTTTGCCTTTTCCTTCGGAAAAAAGATGGACCCGGTTACGGGGTTCATGTCCCTGACGACCCGTCCTCCTGCCCTGGGGACCCCGTACCTGTGCAGGTGATGACGATGTCAACTTGTCTGATGACTTCATTGAGTTTCACGAGCCGGAATCCATCCATGCTAAGAGGAGAAGGGGGAAAGTAGTCTGAGATGCAGCAAAAATGGGCCAAAAATAGAAAAAAAAGCCATTGAGTGATTCCCCGACGCTCATGTTAACTTTCTAATGCCAGGCTGGAAAACAGCGAGGCAGCATGTGAAGGGCCGGGTACCCCAAGCCACCAGGAGGGTTTCTGGAGTCAACCTGGAGGATTTGGGACTGTTGTGGGGAGAGGTAAAAAGAGATTTTGAGGGGTTTTGCCTTTTCTGTCAAGGCCTCCGCATCTGCAAATCTCAATTTTTAACTGAGACAGCTTTTTTAAAGCTGCTACTCCTACAAATTACACCCAGAAGATGCAGATACGCCCTCCTGCTGCAGAATCCTTTCTGATATGGATTTAGATCATCTTTAAAAAAACCCCAAGCCCACAGATGTCTATCATTAACCCTCCCATCCGTATTTAGGCACCTACACAATCTTTAGAGTGCTGAGCACTCAGCAGGTCTTGCTGACTTCACCAAGCAAGGTGTATTCAGCATGTCAGATAACAAGGACAGGATATATTTTTTTAGGATTTGTTGACAGTCCTCCTGAGAACTTATTTCAGTGACTCTCACAGAGCTGCAAAATCATAGTTACTATAAAAAAAAGGAATTTTTTTCTGCTGTATGTCCCAGTTACTGGGGTTTTTCTTCCCCCCACTGCAAACTCTTTACGAAAGGGGCCACGCGGCGTTGCCTTGTGTAGAGTCTGGGAAGGGGTTTCTGTAAACGATCCGATTCACAATTAAGGATGCGGATGCTGGATGTGCCACTTGTGAAGGTCGCAAAGCGAACCGGAAGTTGATCAGCTCTGCTAATTAAGCAGGGCTCATTAGTTCTCTGACTGCGACAGCCCTTTGAAAGCTTGCTGTTAGGAGGAGGCTGCGGGTTTAATAAGGCTCTGGGTGTTTTGGGGACTCTGCTTTCACAGTCACGTCCCATCTCGCACCTCGGGATGCAGAAGCAGCATCTCTGCACCAAAACAACCTTCACCTGGAGGAAACGAGCTCGGGTGGAATGGCAACGTGCCTGTGCGAGGGGACAGCCGTGTGCTTTCAGCCCTGTGTCAGGGTACCGGCGTTAGTGAGGAGAGGTTTGTGAGGGGCGGGTGATCACAGAAACCAGAACATCCCTTGGGCGAGGGCGTGTGCACAGCGCAGCGAAGCCCGGGTGTGCGCGCCAAAGGTCGCGGTTCGCTCCCGACAGCCTTTCAAGCCACGTCATTAAACTCTTTCAAGCTGTATCGTTAAACTCCTGGCTGCTGTGGTTACGATTTTATGCAGGTTAGCACGTGGGATACAGATAACCTGGGTGATGCTGTAGCGCGGGAACCCTTTTCTGGCTGTAGGAGAGAGCTGTGGGTCCCTCTGAGGGTGCAGAGAGGCCACAAATCCCTCACCAGCGTCCCTCTTGGGAGGGACCGCTGCCGAGTGGTTTCTGGCTGTGGTTTTCCTGGGGGGAAAAAAAAAAAAAAGCCTAAAGAAGAAGCGGGGCTCGGTGCGACTGCTTACCAGGCCTGGAGGGCACAGATCGGATCGATCTCTGTCACGTACACTATGGAGCCCATGGCCTTCAAAGCAGCACAGCAGCCCTTTCCAACCTGGGGAGGGAGAAGAGCACAAAGGAAGAGTGAGATGCCGAGAGCTCGGGGGACGCCGAGCGTCGATACGGCCATGGGAAGCTTCCGGAGGATGTACGACCCCAGGCGTCTCTTCTGCGGCCCCAAGAGCCCTTGCAACGCTCTTAGCAACTCGGGTTTGCACATACTCCATCTCTGGCGCATAAAATTCCCGGATTTGGAGTAATCTAGCACCTGAGTCAGGCCCAGCTTAGCTAAGAGAGGCACTAAAAAATATAAAAGTGCCATTGATTTTGATCCCAGGGAGTTCTTTTCCCCCCAAACACCCTGGTATCTAAAAAGCACCACGGTAATGAGAGATTACGCTCATCTCAGGGAAAGTGTTAAGAGTCTCTTGTAACCTCTTCTCTATTTAGGAAGCTCAACTCTTTAATCTTGGAGGGTTAACGAGCTCTAATCTTTATATAGCACGGGCAGTGCAGCTCGCAGGGGAATTCAGGGGAAAAGTTAAATGACCAAGGGTTCCCAAAAAATGCGATTACAGGGGAGAAAATTGTCCCGTTTCAGCTCTTCGGGACAAAAAAAGCCCCAAAAAATCCATGTCCCAGTACAGCCCCCACAGCACAGCCCACCATAACTGGTGTTAACCGGTCCCAACAAGGAGCGCCAAAGGGTGGGAGGGGATTCCTCCGTTTGGGGGTGAAAGCGCTGGGGTAAGTCAAGATTAACTTCTCTTTCTTGACCACGCCTCAGCATGCGATGCTGCGGCTGCAGAACCCAGCCCCCCGAGTACTTTAATCGTATATTAAATAGAGTATGGTGTAGAATATAAATACAAGGATAATGTTGATAGATGACAGAGTAATATCCGGGTATGTCAATATTCAGATATTAAAGATTCTTGGAATACTTAATACTCATGACTTTTAAGGTTTGGTATCTGTTTAATACTGAAGAAATACACTGGAAATCAAATAAAATCTTGGGTTTTGGCAAACCGGTCAGGTTTGAAGGAACCTGCAGCTGCAGAGAAAAGCCACGAGGACAGAAAAGCCTGGTTGGGTAAAGCCGTGCAAAGGATGTGCAGACTTCGCATGCAGTACCCGCACGTAAGCCGCCAACCCCTTACCTCCCCGTAGCCACAAACCACTACTTGCTTTCCTCCAAACATCATGTCCGTTGTCCTTTTCAGGCTGGAGAAGAAGAAAAAAAACCAACCGATGAAGGTCCCTTCCAACCCAACCCGTCCCGCGATTCTGTGATCCCAGTGACGACGCTGTGAGGGACAGCGTCCTCCTCTTCGCTCCTCCTAAACCTCACGGTTGTATCCTGTGTCCCCGGGGGCACGCAGCAATTCTGGGTGCAGAGAGAACCCGAAAGGAACCTAAAACCTGACCTTCTTCTTTGGTAAGGGTGGGTGCTACCAGTGAAATGCAACAAAGGGGAAGGATTTGGGGTTTGGATCCCTTTTTTGTGTTGTTTTTTTGTTGCATCCCTTTGTTTTGGTACTCCAGAAATACTTTAAAATCTCGTAAAAATTTTTTTTTTATTGATTTTTTTTTTTAAAATCAAAACAGCCCGCAGCAATAACGTCAGAAGACGCAGGGAAGTGGCAGTTTGTTGCCAGAATCCCAGTGCTTCCCACACATGAAGCTCTCCCTTCCACTCGGTTTCCTTCTGGTTTCTCCCTGAGAGTGCCCTACATTAGGGGCTATTTTTAGCAGGCGAGTAAATAGGTTAGCAGTGCGGGGAAGGTGAAATTCCCTTGCACTTCCAAAAGAATTCAGATAAGATCCACAGCAGATTTAATTGCACCTCTGCTCAGATTTCCCTTGGCCCAGTTTTAGATGCCTAGGCCAGACTTAACTCAAATCCCAACTTGTCCTACCCATGAGGTCTGTCACCCATCACAATGGAAGACAAGAAGATAAAGAAGATTTTAAAGATTTTAACGTTTCTTAGCCCCCGACAGCATCTGCTACACATGGAACATGGAGCTAAACGTTGCGTCCTTCGGCACTCAAAATCTGGGGGTAACTCTTCACCGGGTGGCAGCCAACCCCCACGCCAGAGGCTGCCTCGTGCGTCTTGAACCCTGCGACCACAGAGCACAGGCATGGCCACAGCGAAGAAGGAAGGGCTGCTTCATTAGAGGAATTACTTCACCAAGATGTTTTCATAGAATCACGGAATGGTTTGGGTTCGAAAGGACCTTGCAAGGTCACCCAGCCCAACCCCCCTGCAGGAGCAGGGACACCTTGAACCACATCAGGTTGCTCACAGCCCCGGCCAACCTGGCCTGGAATGTTCCCAGGGATGGGGCCTCCACCCCCTCTCTGGGCAACCCCTGCCAGGGTTTCACCACCCTCATTTTTTCCCATTATTGCTTCTAGTGACTCATTGCGCCTTGGAGTACGCTGTCCCACTTTGCAGCTTTGGAGACTGTACATATTTTGGAGACCAGCTGATGGATTTGATAGAACCTTCCCAGTTTTGATGGGCAGGAAGGGCAAGAAACCACCGGCTGTTCACAGTGTCAGGTTCTGTAATAAAACATCCTGGCATGGAAGAGCCAGATACCATCACCGCTGACTTGACAAGGAGCCCAAAATTCAGTCTTTTAGGACAACGTGTGATGGAAATGTGAGGGAGAAACTGCATGTGCAGCGGATCACCCAGGGAAGCACATTTGGTGGTTCACTACCTCACAGGGCACTCGCACACTGATCATCTTCATGCCCCTGTGTTTGGACACACAGGTTTTACCAACGTGAGTCTTCTTCACTTCTCCTGGTCAAGGTGACCACTACCAGGAAGACCACTTCAGAGCCAAGGTGACGAATGAGGCACTCTGCTACATATCCCACAAAGATTTGGGAGAAAGATGTTCGAGCAGAGTCCACCGTCAACAGGGAAGCTGATGTTGGGTCTCTGAGCACCTCTGGTGCTACCGTTCCCAAGGCAGCAGTAGCACAGCTGAGCACCAACAGCGCTGCCAGGTGGACCTCGATTAAACAGAAGGTGGCATTTCTATGTCGGCAAGGAACCGCAAACTGCAGATCTCGAGCCTTGTTTGAACTTTAAGCCACACCAAGTTATCAACATGAAAAAAGTTTTTTCTCTTGAAGCAGGCTGTCTTCTCCATGGTTCCTCCTCTGCACCACAGCTACCTGGCACAGAGCAGGGAATCTTTCCTCTTGGTGTTCATCTCATCAGCATCAACGCCAGTCCGGAAAGTCACATTTGTCCTTGCTTCTGTGCTTACTTGTCTACTGGAACCACTACCAGGTGCAATATGTCACAGCCTGAACCATAAGAATAAAACTTGTCCTAATCCCACTTAGCTTTGACAAAATTCGGTGGTGGAGGTGGTGGGGACACAGACACCCAATTCCATCAAAATAAAGAAAAAAAAAGATAGGGAGAGAGGAAAAAAAAAAAAAGACCACTGAAATTTATACTCTCTCCAGATCACAACTTCAAGCATTTTGCGCTGCATCTCAAGACCAACAATCTCAGAAGATACATCGTGTTCCCAGTGCCCACGTATCCGTCAGCGACTGATTCCCATCCGATCCTAAAAAGCACAGCACCATCAGGAGGCTGCGGAGCTGCTCCCAGTCCCACGGTCTGCCTGCTGGGGTTTTTGGGGGAAGCAAACACTCTTCTGCTTGCATATTTGGCTGTAAATCCTGCGGGACTGGGGGGGGGAGAGGTGGGTAAAGCATCCATCAGCCCCGTCATCCCCACCTTCGGCACTGAGACTTATTTATGCTCAGCTGAAGGGCAGGGTTTAATCCTCAGACTCGAGTTTACGCTTTGGACATGCAACCGTTATGGGATAAAGCCTTGGTCTACCACAACCTCTTCTGTTTTCTTTCTTTTGGTTTGTTAAGTATTCACTGAAGAGGATAAAAAAAAGGAAACTAGAGAGGCAAAAAAATGTTGTGATGAAGCAGCTGGTTGACTCATACACGCGCAACAGACACAGATGGGTTTTATCCTGATGCCACAAGGGTAAGAGGGGTGGGAAGGAGTGTTGCAGCCATATGTGAGGACTTCTGAAGCACGAGAAGCTGCCGGGGCTTGAATACAGCTCCAGTCACGCTCACCAAGAAGGAAAAACGCATGGGAGTCACCTACACACATGGAAGGGCAACATCACCCCGAGAGCACAAAGACTTGGTCAGCTCCCTCGAAGGGCACTGGGACGTGTCTTATATCACTATGGCTAATAGAACATTTGGTGTGTCTTCCAGACGCTCCGGGAAAAGAGAAGAGGTGCTTTCCACCAAAGGAGGAGCGGAGGCAGAATTTAAGTGATGTACCCCATTCGTACACACGGCAGGGTTAAAAAATATTGAATCCAGACTTCTACAGATGCTACCGTCTTTGCCGCGAGGTCTGGTGTGCGTGTTTGTAGGACTTGTACGTACAATTGTACAAATAAGTCTGAGGACCTTCTGACCTGTAGAGACATAGCCACTGTCTCAAAATGCCCTGCAGATTCCCATACAAATAGGATGGACCAGAGGTAATAAAAGGTCTTTGTTCTCCTCTGACACATCAATTGATCTAAAATGATCTCAAGTGGCAGGTAGGACAGGACCATGGACACAGTTCCCTGTGGGGTCCAACACAACCCGAGCAAGGGACACAGCCCCGTTTGGGGGGACACGTACGTACCCATCCAGGATGGACTCTCTGCAGCAGTACAGGTTGTCAAACTTCTGCTTTGTGACCGAGTCGTTGACATTCATGGCTGGGACGCAGAGCTTCCCCGCTTTGGACAACTGGTACAGCCTGTTACGAATACAGGAAGAAACAGA